TTCTGAAAATCCCATTAGGTGCCATCTGCATCTTTGACAATCTGGCCACAAGTGACAGCCTCAGGTCTTCTGGGCTGTGTCTACAATGCATTTGCTTCCTAAAATTTCCCACCACTGCAGCATGGGTGATGACGCAACCCTGGGAATGTTTGTGGAGGCTAGTCATTGGCACGGGCCTGGGACATTTAGGTTATTTACTGTGAATACAACTTTCTAACCCTAAGAACAGTGAAGCTCTCAAAACAGGCTTCCAAGGGAGGTGGTGGAAGTTTTTAAGAACAGGTTAGACAAAGACCAGTCAGGGATGGTCTAAGTTTACTTGGTCCTGCCTCAGTGCTGGGGGCTGGACTAGATGATCTCTCAAAGTCCCTTCCAACCCTACATTTCTGTGATTCTAGACACTGTGTTGTGGAACAGTGCTCAGAGCCATGATTGTAACACCAGTGGTTAGTGTACACTGGTGCAGGTGGAGCTGTGACCATGGAGAATTATAGGGGGAAGAGAGTGTAGTGTAGCAAATGCAAAGTGTGTCTGAGTCAGAGCTGGGATTAGAACTCAGGAGTTTCTGACTCAGCCCACACCTGTCTCTCTCGATCACCAGCAGGAACAAGTGCAACCCTTACTCACACAAGTAGTTCTTACTCCTATGGAGCCAAGTCCTGCACTCCTTATTCAAGCAAAACTCCCAGTTTTTTTCCAAAGGGAATTTTAGCCATGTAAGAGCCTAAGCAAAGGCTGCAAGAGTTGACTTTTGGGCAGCCTCATCCGTCTCCCTGGGACTACTCACGTGTGTACGTGTTTGCAGGACTGGGCCCACGGGGAGAGAGCAGCAGCATCTTCTTAAAAAGTCAAAAAGAATGGAGACAACTGGACAAAACCACCCTCAATGTCTAAAGCCTCCACTCTGACACTGAACATTAGTAGCAAATGTTTATTTTTAAAATTGGCCAAACTTCAATCCAACACAGCTGCAGGGAATCGCTGGCATCTCCACAGGAGAAAATGTCTCCGGACCATTCCGATACGTGATGTCATCACAACTCTTTTTTACTCTCCGTTTTCCTGGTTTTCTGACTCAGGATGTGGGCAGCACAGCGGAAACCCAGGTTATCCGAGGCGGAGTCCGGTGTGTTACCCATCCTAGGAAAGGACAAAAACCTCCTATGTAGATTCTGTCATAGATTTTAAGGCCAGGAGGGACCATTAGATCCTCTAATCTGACCCCCTCAATGACACAGGCCATAGTTAGCCCTGTTTTGAGCCCACTAACCTGTCTTTGACTAAAGCACATCTTCCGGAAAAGCATCCAAGCCTAAAGTGATACTGAAACATGGGGCCATTTTCAAAGAGCCCGGCTCCAATTTAGGCAGCTAAGTAAGTGGCCAGATTTTCAGAATAACTCAACCATCAACATACTGCGCTAATGAAAAAAAACCTGGCCCTTTAAATTAGGGGTCTAAATGGGAGCAGAACATTTTGAAAAATATGGCCCTTAACGTACAGAATTGCTGCAAAGGGGCTGATGAGTGATGCAGCTCCTCCACCTGGCTTTTTAAGTGATATCTTCTGACAATCAATATGGAGAAGGAAGGCAAAGCAATTTCATTATTTAGAAATTATGTAATTTACATAATCGATGACAAAAATGAGTTTGTATGATTTAAAACAGATGAACATTATTTCCCACCATTAATTACACTTTATTGTTATAATTCTATCCTTCTGTTATTTTCCCTTCCTTCTCACATTGTTGCATTGGGTGTTATATACTAGCTGGCATCCAGCCTTCATTCCAGAGTTGGTTGCTGTCCATATAGAATTTGAGAAGTGTTTGGGGATTTATTAATAATAATAATAAAGTCTTCACATTAGTTAAAAGTAAATAATTATTAAATAGCAAAAATAAAATAGCAAATCATTTGAAATAAATCTATGTAGTAAAGGTTAAGTTACTATAAGCCCCCCAATGTGGTGCAAAATAGCACTTGGCCACAACAGTAAGTAAACCTACCTAGTAGTAACATGAGCTTTGTGATTGGCCGATCCATCTACTGTGTCAATCCAAGATGCACCTCGCAGGACGTGCATTTTCTGAGCACGCTGCCTTGACATGGGTCCAGGAGGTTGATATTCTGATGCAGTCCATTCCCAGGTGTTTCCTAACAGGTCATAGAGCCCTGAGATATAGAAATTGCTCGTCAGGATCCATAGGAGGACACATACACTGTCAATACAAAGCCCTTTTGGAAGCACTTTGGTGCAGTGAGGGTTGTTTAAGATGCCATCAGAAGAGGATGGTCTAATGGCTAGAGCAGGTGACCAGGAATCAGAAGCTCTGGGTTGTATTCCCAGCTCTAATACACACTCACCGTGACATTGGGCAGATCACTAAACTTTACTGTGACCATCTATTTAGTGGGGTAATAATGCTTGCTTATCCTCAAAAGGGCATTGTGAAGCTTAATTAGAGAATATTAATAAAGTGCTTTGAGATTCTCAGATGAAAGGCATTACAGAAGGGCAAAAAGTGATCAAGTATCATTATTATAAATCATTGCATGCAATGTTGTGCTTGTTGCCTTAAAATGTATCGTGTCAACATCAGCCAATTTAAATAGCATTCAGAAATCTCAATGTGCCCAGCATCATCGTATCTAGATGCCAAGAAACTCAATGTCAGTTTAGGTTTTAAATTCCCGCTATAATCTTGAGACTTTAATTTATTATTTCTAAATTGAAATTAACAAAAGAATTCATTTACAAATTGGGGCAAAGGTGCCTACTAGCCCATACCATAGTAGTTCTGAGGAGAGAATGCATTCACTGGGGAAACACCATGGTAACCATCTTCTGC